CAAAAAGCAAAACTACCTGAAAAAAAAAGTAAATTTAAAATCCTCGTAGTTAATGAACGCAAAATGTTTCTAGGCTTGAAGAACAAAGAAGAAAGTTTCCAAATAGATTAAAAATAAAATTAAACTGCATAAAATCACTCCTTTTTTTTTTCGTACAATCTGTTAATTGCCCCTTTTTTAGACGCGGCAAAACGACTCATAGAATGGTTCTGAGTTTTTCAAGTCCAAACATTTAGCTCACAGCTTCACCATCTCTTGACCGATTTGCGATCTGATTACAGTTTTGGACTTAGGAAGTCAAACCCTTTTATTTGATGTATTTGTTTTAGTTATATTTTGTTTACTGAATACTAAATATAGAAGTAACTTCCTCGTCATAGTTTTAAACTCAACAATGTTTATCTGAGATTTCCGCGCTTTTAATGCGATTTACTTTGGATTAGCAAACACAATTAAGGTAAACGACAGTGTATAATGAACTGTATCGCCAAACACATACATCTTATCTCACGCAAAAAGCTGACCTTCTTCAGGATTTGCCAATGTGCGTCAAGTACTCTTTAACTCACCTTCAATGAGTGAAAGACGAGCATGCATTTGTCCTCGTTAAATCTATTCCAAGGCTACAAGAAGTATCCACGAAACCTGTCTTTCCAAGTCTCATTTATTAACAGATTAATTTAAACACTTAGATAATAATTCTGTACATGCTCTAATAGAACGAACCAAATTGTATCTTTTTAAACAGTGTTTTCATAAAATGCATTGTATTTATCCAACTTTTATTGTCACGGCATGTCTGATACTGTTCGGTTGACCCTTCTTTTACCTTATTTTTACCAGCCTCTCTACGAATGTCTTTTTGAAAACACTGTATATGTTCATCAGACTCGGCCACATCTGGACAATTAATTCAATCAGATCCACAGTCACAGAGAAAGTGGTTAGAACATTTCCTTTTAATGTGACTTTGAAAGTAGATGTAGACAAAAATCAAATCTATTAATATTTAGATCTTACTACCATTTTTGTAAGTCTGTTTGACCTAAATAGCATTATTTAATTATTGTAGTAAATATTGAATTTAACCTACTCCAATGAAACAATAAACCTGAAATTGCAATTCCGAGAACATACCCTCTTCTGAGTTAATTAGTGAATTGATTTGAATCTCTATAAAAGCCTTGTATTCCAAAGAATAAAAAGTTATTTTCAAACACTTTTCAATCTTTGAGAATTCTAAGATAGTTTTTTGTTGCACTCAGGATTGACTATGTCTGCAAGGCAGATGTAACGTAGATGAAGGGGGGACTCTTACAGAAAGAATGAATAATTTTGAGTGTCGATGGATAAGACCAAATTAATCACGTTATTGTATTCTGGGGACTGAATTGATACACCGGTTATCCTCAAACTACCTCTGATACGATAATAACGGTCATTGGACCTAGTTATTTCTTTATTTTATTTATGCCCAGTTTTCATCTTGCATAAAATAATGCACTTTGGTAAGCAATCAATTTCTTAAGACGAGAATAAGAGTCGGAGGGAGGCACACTTGGATATTTAATTTCATGCTTAATATTCACAATGAATTTTCAACTCAAGATGATTTACTACGATACATAATGGGGTGTTTAACTCTTTCCAATCTAATTCTTTGCCAAATATCGCTCACTATAATCTAAACACATTTAAATTAAACTTTTAATTAAACAGATAATGCGCTTACATTCTCTTTCCCGCTTTTTTTGTCTACTATTTCCTTCAAAAATTTAAAACTGCTTTAATGCTACTTTATCATTTTAAACTTTGGTTAGGAGGTTTTAGCAAAGATTCGATGCACTTCTTATTATTGGCTTATGCTATGAAAAGGATAACTTGGAAATTTTAATAAAACGAAGAATGCTGTTAAAATACTCTTTAAATACGTTATGTGATCTTCAGTTTTTTCTCTGGCATAACTTCATTTATTGTATAATGTTATAAAACACCAAATGATAGTGAATCATAAGGAATATTGCAGTCATAATAATCTGGTCCCATTCTAAGAATATAGGTTATGTATATAGATCTTTGGATAAAATTGGTATAAATTTGGCCTCATTGTCCTAAATTAGCTCCAGAGAATATTTTTTTTTTGGCAACATCTATGTTTTTCGTCTGCAGAAAATGAAAGTTTTAATAACTCTATCTGTAATTGCTTTGCGTTCATATCTATAAATAAAAAGTCATATATTGTAGTAATTAAACAACTGTTACTGAAATAGGCGAAAGTCAAATATCCACAAATAGAGCCTTTTTTGGTTTGAAGTTTCAAGCAAAATTACTGTAGATTTCATGAATTAAAAGATGAAATAGGGATATAAAAAGGTGACGCTTACGAAGACGTTAAAGAGTTTTAACCTGAAACCTCTTAAGACCACGTTCCTCCTAATCATTTAAATGGACCATAAGTTGCAAATAGGACTGAGTACCATCGTAAATGTGCACTTGAAAGATATTAAAATCGATCTCGAGCCTTTCTTAGCGTAAAGTACTTTTAAACTGTTCAATATCAAAAACTGTTTATATGGAAAACATTATAAACAGAATGACAAATATATTTCTTTCATATCGGTGATCTCCCCAGTGGCCCAGCGGTATATCTGCGGACTTACAACGCTAAAATCCGGGTTTCGATACCCGTGGTGTGCAGAGCACAGATAGCCCATTGTGTAGCTGTGTGCTTAATTACAAACAAACAAACAATCATATCGGTGAACACGTATCTCAGAACTGCGGCCATCAACTCAATTTTAATCTAAGGTATTATGAAAAGCTTCGGAGTTTTTAAGGTTTCCGTAGAAATAACACAATTGTTTTGTCTTGGGTTTCTACGCATCAGGCACTACAAACTTCAACACTGTGTGATTTCCTGACGTCATTAGATGAATAATATTGGATCGCAATCATTTTGAAACGTAAGCTACTTCAAGTGTTAAATATGGACTAATGAACAAACAAAGCATAAAATTATTGTGTGATTATATAACTAAGTGTTCTATTGTGTGATTATATAACTAAGTGTTCTATTGTGTGATTATATAATTAAGTGTTCTATTGTGTGATTATATAACTAAGTGTTCTATTGTGTGATTATATAATTAAGTGTTCTATTGTGTGATTATATAACTAAGTGTTCTATTGTGTGATTATATAACTAAGTGTTCTATTGTGTGATTATATAACTAAGTGTTCTTTTGTGTGATTATATAACTAAGTGTTCTATTGTGTGATTATATAACTAAGTGTTCTATTGTGTGATTATATAACTAAGTGTTCTA